ACTGAGAGCCGGATTGACAAGTGGAAAGGCCACAGCCCTGGGAACAATGGTTGGAATTCTCAGTGTTGTAAGATGTATCAATGGGATGCTGGACCCGGTTTTCAGCAGGTGCCGCTCCCGCCCAATAGATGGAGCAGCCCGGCAGATAAGTCCTCAATTCTGACGGTTCTCTTACCACCGCCGGGATAGAGAGCTTACACAAGGGCTTTTTTTTGCAAAAAAAGAAAAAGAAAAAAGGACTACTTTTTAATGGGCCGCGCCACACTTGCTGCCGTGCAATATGAAGGCAACGCTGAAGGGGCCGAGTATACCCTTCTGGCCCCTTTATAGCCGTAAAAACATAATTTAATATCATGTGGCCTAATGGACCATGGATCAGATATTGAACTGATCAGAACAGCAACTACACTTGATCTATTCCAATTTTTCTTTTTAGCCAAAAGGCCGAGAAAGCTCTAGGAAGCTAGCGTTGATAAGGAAACAAAGAAAGCAACCATTAGAATTTGCACTAAAAATAACTGAATCTAACCTGATAAACAACCCCGCCTCTCAACTATATATCGAGATCTTCGACAAGGCTCGAGAGGAATTGGCCATGTGGAAATGGTGGGATCTGAAAGGCCTTCAGATAAGAGCAAGAATGTGCGAATACGAACTAAGCGACTCAATGACTAGACACTTCTTTGCTCGAATCAAAGCCAACTCAAGAGCTGGCACGATAGAAGGCCTGAGGTCACACACATCTCCTGAAATTGTCAAATCAGATAGTGAAGGGATGATGGAGATAGCCAACAATTTCTACAAGGAGCTATACCAGTCCAAGAATGGAGCACCAATACCCATCAACGTCAGAGAGGCAAGGCAGAAAATGGTACACTACCTAGAGCGAACAATATCACCTGACCAGGCTGAAGCTCTTGACAAACCGTTCACATTAGAAGAAATACTCAGGGCTCTACAAAGCATGAACAACAATAAAACCCCAGGAATCAACGGGTTAACAAAAGAGTCCTGTGAAAAATTTTGGCCCTTGCTAGGAAGTGACTTACTTAACTTCTATAATGACAGTTGGTCCAAGGGGGGGCTGGGTAATCTTCTCAGCAGCAGCGTGATCGCACTACTGTACAAAAAGGGTGAAAAAGACGACATTAGAAATTACAGGCCCATATCACTGCTAACCCTCCTATACAAGATCCTGGCTAAGACCCTGTCTAATCGGATCATTAAGATCACCAACAAATGCTTCCACATTGACCGAACAGGATTCATCCCGGGCCGTTATATTCTGGACAATGTATGGACATTGAATGAGTCAGTGAGAAAAATCAGAGAAAGGAAAATAAATGCCGCCATTCTTTTCTTTGATTTCGAGAAAGTATACGATCAAGTCAACTGGGACTTTATGGAAGCGAGCATGGAAAGAATGGGAGTCGGACCGAACTTCAGAAAGTGGGTAAGGATACTCTACAAGGATGCAGTTGGCTGTGTCCAAGTCAATGGACTGTTGTCTGATTGCTATCCGATATCCCGCTCGGTCCGTCAAGGGGACCCTCTAGCGCCGTCAATCTTCCTTTTCGTAATGGAGGCAATCGCATCCTTCCTGCGCAAGGATCCATCAATTCAGAGACTATCCAGCACCGATGTAGGCTCGGCCCATCAGATGGATTTCCCTGCAGCTATCATGTTCGCCGATGATTTAACGGTCCTGATTAGAGCATCAGACTCCTCCTTTAGAACACTAGCCAAAGCAATGGAAGCATTCAGGTTAGCCTCATAAATGAGGATCAATTGGGGGAAAACAATTGGCTGGTGGCTCTCCGATGACGAACCCCTTTCTCTCCAAGGATGTGAGGCGGCTATGACATGGCAAAAACCGGATACACCCACACGCTATCTAGGTATCCTGATGACGAAAGGATTGGCGCCCCAAATGGGCCCTTCCATGCTGGCCAAACAGATTAACAAAATCGGAAGGTGGAGCAACGCTTTCACTTCCCTTATCGGCCGAGCGCTGGTTCTCAACACGCCGGTCTTCTCAATGATGTGGTATATTGCTTCTATCTGGACAGTTCCCGACAGCTCGATTAAGGAACTGAACATACGAGTTAGGATCTACCTATGGACAGGAGACCCCAACAAAGATAAGGGCATATCTAAGATAGCCTGGCACTACGTCACAAGGGAGCCACGAAATGGGGGCCTAGGAATCATTGACCCTGGAACTGAAACGAAAGCTCTGCAAATTAAATGGATCATCAAACTGCTGATGAATCCGGACAGTGCCTGGAACAACTTGGCACTGGACAGTATTAGATCGATAGCTCCGGTTCCCTCCCCGAATGACATGTCAGGCCTATTTTGGGTAATGAACAAAGAATGGGTAATATCTACAGGTCGGAGGAATCGGACGAGGAATAACAGACCCGAAGACCATCGGCCACCCACCCCCTACTGGCCGGCACTGCTTCGATCGTGGAGGAAAATAATCCCTAACAAGATAAACAATCCCAAATCTAAAGATGAAGTTCTAAGACAACCGCTCTTCGGGAATGAATGGCTAACAAACGAGGCCAATAACCCACTTTTCCTTGAACAGAGGTGGCTATCTTGGATCAAAAACGGTATTTGGAAAGTAGACCACCTGTGGATGGAGGACAGAAAAGACTGGATAACGGAACAAGAAGCCAGTGTCCGACTGAAAGGTTGTCACAGACATGAGACCAATCTCCAATACATACTCATTCGTATCCCGCAAGAATGGAAAGATATCCTGGTAAAAGATGAGTCCTGGAGACCGGGCGAATGGGGTCTTTTGATTCAAGACACATCCCCTACTAGAGCCTATCAATTCTCTCACATGCAGCAAGGCTCTCACACCAGAGCTATTTTCTACTCCTTCCCGGTTTCCTTCACCAATACGGACATGCCAGCTATTCTCAACAACAATGTAGAAACATCTATACTGGATTCCTTCCTCCTTAGAAAAGTAAGGGTCCTAGGTTCATGGCCAAAGGCAATTTTCAGACCGGACACGGCAATCCGTTCCTTGGAGTTCGACCCAGCAGAGTGGGCCTGGAAACCAAATTCTACCAGCAACTTCAAGTCAAAAGTCCCGATCCACGACTACTCAGTCAAACTTGGGTACAGACTGTCTCTGAAGACCAAAAATCCAGATCCGATCATCAAAAACAGATGGCGGAATCTCGTGGGTCAAGAAGCAGACAAAATCACGTGAATCCACTGGGAAAAATTCAAACGCATCAGACCAATCAAGATTTGCAATGGCTGATTGTATACGCAGCCCTGCCAGAGAACCAATGGCTGTACATTAGACGAAAAATCACAGACCCAAACAGCTCGGAATTATGTAGTCTGTTCTGAAGGCTCGGTAGAAGACCTAGTCCACTGCCTAGTGCTCTGTAAAGAGGCGACCGAATACTGGACGAGAGCTTCTTCACTCTGGAACTCCCTCTTCTCTTCCCCCTTCCCCAAACAACCCATTCAGCTGCTCCTCTTGACTAACATCCCTGTTCAGGCTCGGAAGGCTGAGAGGTCCTGGTTTGAACTCATCAGGAAGGTGACTCTATGGGTCATATGGAAGGAGAGATGCAGCCGAACAATTGAAGGACGGTCCAATCCACGGGAGAAAGTGTGGTTTGAAACTAAAACAATGATTCAAGCCGAGATCCTTTGCAGATGGCAGAAGACCAAACGAGCCTGGACCGAAGACGAAGATCAGCGGAACAAGGAAAGGCAGAGATTCTACAGGACCTGGCTGGTTGATGGCAAGATTGGAGAACTGCGACAGAACCGGGTATGCTGGGAGAAATGGCATAATTCAATTCCAGAAAGGGACTTCCAACATCAGACGTCGCTGGAAGGCTTAACCACGTCCTAGGCTGCAAGAGGATAAACATAACCCAGGGGGTACAGATGACGTGGAACAAGGAGGACACGAACGGAGCCACAAAGGATGGTCCCTCCTCAGAGATCCGGAAGCTAACGAGCTCCCTGCCAGGGTCCAATTTTGACGACCGGACGACAAGACTGCAGACTGAGGGTGTAGGTTCCAAAGATATACGGTTGACTGTCCAAAGGGGGGCAATAGTGGTGTATAGGGAAGGACCAGGTTGGATAAGGACAACAGGCGTGCTCTTTCTAGGGTCAAATGCTTTATCTGACAGATCTGGATTCTGGATCTGAGAGGAAAGAGAGGGACAAGGCAAGCTGACAGTCAATCCTGCCGGGGTGGAGCAATCAATGCTGCTCAGGGGTCCTTCGGCCAGACGGAAGGAAGCGTGTGTGATTGATAATTGTTGTATTGTATATTTTGACTTGCCGGTGGAATAGGAACCGGACTGACGCTCCCCAGAATAGAAGGAGCCAGGACCATAAGGCCCTGAGAAAGGTTTTTGACGTATTCGTGTCTTTACTAGAATGCTGCATTCCGTGTGATCTCATACCCCTCGCTCAGTTAGTCACATTGATGTCTTTGGAGGCACAGGGCACCCCCGCACCACTCACCAACTGCACAAAAAAAGACAAAAAATATGGCGCTGTATCTTTCCATGTTCTAGGGGAAAATTCATTCTCACTTTGCAAATTTGGTAAGTGCTCACAACTTGCAGCGGCGAGGGCACATTCTTGGCATTTCTTGCCTGCATTGCATGGAAGGTCAGGGCCGGGAGCTGTTCAATGGAGCTGGAAGAGTTTTAACTTTCTGTCTATTGCTTGTGCAATTTGTTTCTTTTCCTATTTCTTTTGGGAGAGGAAGGAGGTGAGGATACTTGCAAAATGTGAAAGAAGAGGTGTATGCTGGTTCCTGCCTTCTGCTAGAATACTTCCAGGGGAGCATTCCCAAGCCTCCCAGTCCAGTGCACTACTGAGGATAAGACCGAGCTATCCACAGCATCGATACTTTGCAAAGAGTACTCATCATATGGGATAATTGCTTTGTTGGGTGGGGGCGGGGACATGGTGTCATCCAAAATCCTGGGCAGGCCAATCGTTGATGCGTTTACGGAGAAATCTCGAAGCGCAGCAAAGTTGGCAACATGGTGCACAGTTTGCCTCTTCCGGAATCCAGGATTTGGATTTGTGCCTGGAGTTGGAAGAGCTTGCGAGCGGTACCCTTCAAGCAGAACCTATGGCACAGACAAGAGCTTCACCATCGATATCAGAAGCAAACCAGAATTTGATTGGGAGCGGATCAGGAGCGTCAACCTCTTCTGCCAGGCAGATTATTTCCAATTGCCGAGCAAATCAGAATAGCCAAGCGAATCATCTTTCACTCATCAGGAATAATTCAAATGCCAGAAACGTTGAGATAGAGGGGAACTTCATGGATGTGGCGGAGCTTGAAAGGGCACTGAGCGAGGGGATTGATAAGGTGCGGGATACCAATTGAGTCTTTCTTTCTACACCCCCCCTCCCACAGCAACAACAACCCCCCTTTCCCCCCCCCGCCCCCTGGTATTGGAATTAGACGATGACTGAGGGTCTATTGGAATGAGTCCTTTACTGAGGCAAATGTCAAACTCCTGAGGTGTTCTTGAACATTCATATCTGTTCGTCTGCTGTCTTTGGTTTTCAATACAACAGGTAAACACAGGTAGGCTGGATGAAGCCATAGACGACTTCAATAGGGTGAGTAACGGAGATCTCACTTTCACCTCTCTGCTGTTTTCTCTTGCTTTCCTCCTGTACCTCCATCATTTTTCCCTTCCCTACTTCCCTCATTATTACTCGCTTCCTTCACTCCTCTTATCCTTCTTCCTGTCCTCTGTTTCTCTCCTTTGTTCCCTCTATCCGTCCTCTTTTTTTCACCCCTTCAACACTCACCCACTCACCCACTCACCCACTCACCCACTCACCCACTCACCCACTCACCCACCCACTCACCCACTCACCC